TCCTCACTTAGTCTGAGATGGAATACTCAATAACAGGTTGGGGCTGTGGGGATTTACCTTGATTGTGTCAGTTTGATTGGCTTAAAGAAATGCCCTGTTAATTGAGGGCCTGGGTGAGTCATGGAGGTGCTATATATGGCACCTGCCCTTTCCTCTCTAGCTCTGTTCCCTTGCTCTGCTTCTCAGCTGCCACCAACTAAGGAGCTTTGCTCCACCATGATGTTCCTGCCTTGGAACAAGCCAACCCACAAACTGAATTCCCTGAAACCACAACCCAAGGTAAACTTCTGCTTTTATTCCATGGCTTTTAGGTAATATGTCCTAGCAAAAGGAAAGCTGACCAATCCAGGAACCAAGTAGCCAAAGCAATTTGAGGAAGAGAAAGGTAAAGGCTTCATACTTTCTGATTTCAAATTATATTATAATGCTGTAGTAATCAAAATAATCAAGCTGGCATACAAACACACACATGGACCAATAGGAACAGAGTAGAGAGCCCAGAGAAATATCTATGCATTTATGGTCATCTGTTCTTTGACAAAGGTACCAAGAATAGACAATGTGGAAAAAGTAGTCCCTTTAACAAATGATTATCCAAATGCAAAGAATAAATTGGTCCTCTATCTCATACCATACACAAAAATCTAGTAAAAGTTGGTTGAAGACTTAAACAAAAACCAAAAGCATAAAATTCCCAAGAGAAAATTATAGAAAAAAATCTTCCCAGCATTGGCTCTTGCAATAATCCCATGCAGTCAAAAGCACAAGCAACAAAAGTAATGGACTACTGGGATTACATCAAACTAAAACACTTCTGCACAGCAAAGGCAACAATCAACAGAATAAAAATTCAACTATAGAATGGGAGAAAATATTTTCAAACTGCATATATTAAAGAATTAATATCCAAAATCTATAAGGAAATCCTATAACTCAGTAGCAAAATGAAAAAAATTAACATTTTTTTAAAAAATAGGTCAATGACCTGGACAGACATTTCTTTAATTAAATCCTACAAATGCCCAGCTTTTCAGGTATATGAAAAGTTATTCAACATCATCATCATCATGGAAATGCAAATAAAAGCCAAAATGAGGTATTGCCTCACAACTGTTAGGATGGCTATTTCCAAAAACAAAACAAAACAAAAAAGTCATTTTTTTTTTTAGATATGGAGAAAGGAAAACCCAATATACTATTGGTAGGAACCTAAATTGGTATAGCTATTGTGGAAAACAACATGGATAGTCCTCAAAAGATAAAAGTAGAACTACCATATGATCAAGGAATCCCACCTCTGGATGTAGGAATTGAAATTAAGATCTTGAAGATACACCTGCATTCCCTCCTCTACTTCAGCATTATTCACAATAGCCAAAACAAAGAAGCCACCTAAATGTCCATTGGTGCATAAATACATAAAGAAAATATGTGAATAAGTGGAATAGAATAGTACTCAGTCTTCCAAAAAGAAGATAGTTCTTTTAAAAAGAAGATTATTCATCATGCCATTTGCAAGAAGATTGACGAACCTGGGGGACATTATGCTAAATGAGAAAAGCCAGACACCGAAGGACAAACACTACATGATCACACTGCCATGAGGAATCTAGAGTCAATATCAGAGAGAGTAGAATACTGATTGCTGGGGCAGGAGGTGAGAATGGTAAGGTGTTGGCAAAAGGGCATAAAATTTCAGCATTGCAAGATAAGTAAGTCCTAGCCATCCCTGCTCCATTGTTAGCGATATTATATATCATACTTAAAATTTTACTGAGTGTAGATCTTATGATGTGTTCTTATAACAAAATAATAACAATAAATGGAGCAGAAGAAAACTTTTGAAGGTGATAGATATGTTTATGACACTGATTGTGGTGATAGCTTCACAGGCATATGCTTACTCCAAATTCATCAATTTGTATATATTAAATTTGTGCAGCTTTTTGTGTGCCAATACCTCAATAAGAGGTTTTAACAAAAAAAGGATTAAAGCCTTCGTAGAATGTAAAACTGCTGCATACACAATACCTCCAGTACACATTTATTTCCTTAATCTTAGCAGTGTCCTTGCAATCATCAACAGTATGATGTGGTCAACAGTTTCTGATGGAAACTCAGGCTCAGCAAGATTATATGACTTGCCCAGAGCCTGACATTCAAGGGGTAGAACAAGATGGCCAACACTGAAGCTTACACTCCTTTTAAATTCTTCCTGCCAAGGCCTATCATCTACGGCATCTTTTCCTCTTAACATTTCTTCCACTTCCACCTTTTTGAACATCCTAAAATCCACAACTGATATTTTGGGAGAAAGGGTATAGAAACTGAGAAAAAATCAAGTCCTTTGAGTGCTTAGTGTTGATCTTGTACTTTGAAGGTAAACATCCTTTGGCCAACATATACTGTTTCCTCCATTTCATCAAAGTGGGATATGGAAAACAGTGCCAGGGCAGAGGAGGTGTGAATGAATACTCACTGAATAATTTATTAAGGAAAAAGTGGCAGTTTAAATACATCTTTCTTGGAGTTAAAGACATCATATTATAGTGATATATGTATACCTATTTTTATAGCAATACAATTCATAATAGCTAAATCTTGGAAGCAGCCTTTATATCCATCAATAGATGGATGGGTTTAGAAAATGTAGTATTTATATATAATGGAGTTCTACTCTGCTATAAAGAAGGACAAATTTGAGTCATTTGTAGAAAAATGGTTGTGCCTTGAGACCATAATGTCAAGAGGAATAAATCTGACACAAAAGCTTAACTATAGCGTGGTTTCTCTTATATGAGAAACCCCAAGTATAAATAAATTACAGAGCAAAATAAAAGATAGGTAATAGGAAACAGGGAGGCACATATAGCTTTTGCAAATGGGAAGGAGACCAAACAAGATATGGAGGGAGGTGGGGTGGAGAGAGAAGGGAAACTAAAAGGAATTAAAATGTGTTGGGGACTTGTACCAACTCCCCACAATGAATGTAACCATTATGTGCTGCAAACAAGTACTGATAAAAACTTTTTTTAAAATAAATAAATACTCCTTTCTCCCTTGTATCTGTTCAGCTAAAATTTGATGTCATAGCTCCCCTGGTCCTCAGGGGGACTCACCAGTAGAGACATTCAGAAGCCCTAACGCTTCTGCGCTGAAGGAGGTTGGAGGTATAAGAAAGAGGAAAATTAAAGATCAAGGCACCTTATTACCAGTATGGACAGTGACAAGTTCAACTGTAGAGAGCGTGTAGAGAGTGGCTATACAAACTCTCAGCAGATATTGGGGTGCTCGGCTTCTTCCTCAGCTTCCGGTCTACCCCCTATCCTATCTAAAAGGAACCTTCTTTTAGGAAAAAGCCTCCTCCTCTGGGGGTAGGGGGGAGCTTTACTGAATCTTGAGATGTATTTGATACCAGGCCAGAGTAACTCCAAAAATATTCATCCTATGAAACCCTTGGTATTATGGGAAGGATCTCGAAAACCTATGTTCCCCTGAGCACTCAGACCCCCTACAAGGACATCCAACTTTTTCAAGCCTCGGGCACCTGGGTTGGGAGTGATTTTGAGCACAAACTTAATGATTGGGCGCATAATAATACAAAGGAGCTAATGAATATTGGTTGTTGTTGTCGCTGTGACCAATGGGGCGTGGGCCTCATTTTCTTGGAATTATGGCAAAATTAATGGTTTACATCACCTTTAATTTCAAAACTCTGCTAAAATGCGTTTTTGGACAACAATCCCCGATTAACCCTGATCTCACTCCTTTTCTGGTAGCGGTCTGGGGTCGCTTTGCGGTCTTCCATCAGAAATTAATTTTTTTAAAATGAAATTAAAAGCTACAGACCACAATTGTGAAAAGTTGTCAAAGTCTTGCAACTCCGGTTCATAGCGCACTGGTTTCCCACAAGAGGAACGCTGCACTTTATGAATTGCTGGGACAGCTTTCCGGAGGAGCCCGCAACTCAGAGAGGGCAGGGCTGTGCAAGCGCCTACACCGCCATCCACTGGCCCCGGTCAGGTGGCGCAGACAGCAGCCCGCCGCGGCATCCCGGGAACCGAGTTCCACGGGACCAGACCGACACCTCATAGCGCACTGGTTTCCCACAAGAGGAACGCTGCACTTTATGAATTGCTGGGACAGCTTTCCGGAGGAGCCCGCAACTCAGAGAGGGCAGGGCTGTGCAAGCGCCTACACCGCCATCCACTGGCCCCGGTCAGGTGGCGCAGACAGCAGCCCGCCGCGGCATCCCGGGAACCGAGTTCCACGGGACCAGACCGACACCCCTCTC